CATAACATGTAAGCACCACCAATTGCATTATTTATTTGTAATCACCCAAACATACAATGACAATCCTATTTGAAAGACCCCCTTAAACCGTCACACCACTAGGGTTGCAAATGAGTCGAGCGACTCACGAGTCGAGCGGCTTACGAGCCGTTAGCGAGCGCTCGAGTCAAAGCTCGACTCGAGCGGCTCGAGCACGACTCAAGTCGAGCTCGAGCCCATATTTTGCATTGTGAACGGCTCGTCGAGCGACTCGATATATATGTTAAATTAATAAAGTACCCCTTATATATGGCAAAATTGCATATAAAAGCACCACCTTTCATGTTTTTGCAATTTAATCACCACCTTTGCAATTTAGCAATTTAATACACCACTTTAGTTATTTTTTGCAATTCGAATCACAGGGCTCAATTTCGGGCCTGTTCTGGTGACGTGGCATTTTTGTGGTGACGTGGTGTTTTCACATGTCAATGACGTGACTTCTTTGGGCTGACGTGGCAGTCTATTTCAATTGAAAAAAAAAATTATGTCTTACAGTAGGAGGATTCGAACCCTAGCCTCGAAAGGAGAAAGATAGCTATGCTACCAACTCACCCATCCATGTTAGTTAACATATTCAATAACACTTTATATATATAGGAATTACGTATGAATAAATCATATTAAATTTAGAACATTTAATTATATTATATTAAATTAATTAAATATAAAATTATAATAAATTAAATTAAATGAAAATAAAATAAATTAAGATAATTAAAATATAGAATTTTATTAATTCAATTTTGTGTTAGAGTAAACCATATTAATAATATTTTATAAATAAGATTTTTATTATTTATTATTTCATAATAAGTTATTTTGTTTATTATTTTATTTTATTTTATTTTATTTGAATTCACCTTTTTGTACTTTATCATCTTATGTTATATTTTTTGTATTATATTTTAATAAATCTAACTTATTATGAAATAATAAATAAAAATAAATAAAAATCTTAAATAAATATAATAAATTTAAAAAATATAATTTAAGTAAATAAAATGTTAAAAATAATCGTAAATAAATAATAAAACAAAAAGTGTTATTTGTATATAAAATAATAAAATATTAAAAATCTTAAATGTAATAATAATTTATTATATAATAATAAGTTATTCTATTTATTATAAATTTATTTTAAATAAATAAATAAAAATATTAAATGAATATAATTATTAATATGATTCACTCTAACACAAAATATGAATTCAAAAAAATATATTTTAATTATCTTAATATATTGTTTTTAATTCAATTTTATATAATTTAATTTAATATAATTAAATTATCTTTTAGATTTAATTTGATTTCGTCATACTTAATGTGTACATATATAAAAGGTTATTACATTTAACAACTAAGTTGGATTGGTATGGTGGTAGCAAAGGCTGCCCTTTAACCCTTTTAACCCAGGATCGAATCCCATATAGGGCGTGCAACATAATTTTTTTTAATTGACACATGGGTTGCCATGTCAGCGCAAAATGCCATGTAATTGACACATGGAATGTCATGTCAGCAAAAAAATGTCATATCAGCAGAACGGGCTGCCACGTCAGCAGAACAGGCCCGAAGTTGGGCCCTGTGATTCAAATTGCAAAAAATAACTAAAGTGGTGCGCAAAAATGCCATGTAATTGACACATGGAATGTCGTGTCAGCAAAAAAATGTCATATCAGCAGAACGGTCTGCCACATCAGCAGAACAAGCCCGAAGTTGGGCCCTGTGATTCAAATTGCAAAAAATAACTAAAGTGGTGTATTAAATTGCTAAATTGCAAATGTGGTGATTAAATTGCAAAAACATGAAAGGTGGTGCATTTATATGCAATTTTGCATATATTTAAATAGTATAACACAAGTGTTTAATGAATTTTTTTCTTTTTTACTTAAAATTTTTTAGCCGAACTCGAATATTTTGATTTCGAGCCGAACTCGAGCTATTGTATTTTCTTATCAAGTCGAGCTTGAACTTCATAAATCGAGCTCGAGAAGCTAAAAAAAATTTAATCCTGCTTGATAAGGTCAATGAACCACTCGACTTGACTCGTTTGTAGCCCTACAGGACAACCCTTTATGGACAAACAGAAAATCCACTCATCTTGTCGAGTCGAGCTCGACTACTCGAACCTCATAAATCGAGCTCGAGTAGCTAAAAAAAAAATTTCAATTCTGCTCGATAAATCCATTACTCAATTCGACTTGATTCGTTTGCAGCGTACGAGGACAAAACAGAAAACCCACTCAATTAATTCGTATGTTCTGGTATCTCTCTTATTCACCCAGTCACCCTCTCTCTCTCTCTCTCTCTCTCAAGATTTGACCCAAGTTAATTACGTTCTACCCCCTTCCCCGAGTGGATTCACCACGTGTGTCCATCCCAGTGCAGCACTAACCCAGTCACACCCTATCCACCGTCGATTACCCTCCACCCACTGTACATAGGCCCTTTCTCCTCTGGGGGGGGTCCCCCCTTTCTACTCGCTTTACCCGCTGCATAAAAAGTGGGGGGTCCATTTCATTTCATTTTCATCCCCATAGAAAAAGCAGCACCTCACATGGCTTCGATTCTACCCCACCACCACCCCTCCACGGCGGCGCACCACCAAAATATCGAACCAGGGGGAGGGGGCACAAACCCCCCGGCGGACCCACTCCTTCCGACCGAATTCACCATCGCTGCCGCTGACAGGGTCGGTCTAGACACGCAGCCGCCCCCACAGACGGCACTGGCGGTGGCGATCGCCGCGGGTCCGCCGCCGAAGCAGTCCAGCAAGGACCGGCACACGAAGGTGGAGGGACGCGGCCGCCGGATCCGGATGCCGGCGGCGTGCGCGGCCCGCATATTCCAACTGACGCGCGAGCTCGGCCACAGGTCCGACGGCGACACCATTCGATGGCTGCTCGAGCGGGCCGAACCGGCCATCATCGAGGCCACCGGCACGGGAACCGTGCCCGCCATCGCTGTCTCAGTGAACGGCGCGCTGAAGATCCCGACGATTCTCTCCACTGCCGGTTCGCCGGAAACCCCGAACAAGCGCAGGAGGAGGGCTTCGAACAGCGAGTTTTACGACGTCGAAGACGCATCGAGCTTCGCCCCGGTCTCGCCCATTGCGCCGCAGGGCCTGGTTCCGGTTTTCGGCGCCGGCGCTTTCTTCATGATCCCACCTTCCGGCGGGGCCTCCGCCGCCGGCCCATCAAGCCACCCGCCGTTCTGGGCCATACCGGCCTCGGCAACGCCGGTTTTCAACGTCACAGGGCGGCCCATGTCGAAATTTGTCTCCTTTGGGGACTCCCCTGGTGGTGGCTCCAGCTTCTCAGGCGGCGAGGATGAAGCAGGGGCCAACAGCAGTTGCGGTAGTGACGGCAACAAAGGTGCAACTCATACAGCGACCGCTACAAGTAGTGGGGCGAGTACTACTGCAGCAGCGACGGTTACAACGCTGAAGGAATTCTCCCCGGAGGTCTACGAAAGGAGAGAGCTTCAGTTTATGGTGGGCCCCGCTGCAGGGAATGACGACCAGACCCCGTCCCCACAACCTTGAAGAGTACTGGGAATAAATATGGCTGAAAATCAGAATAGGGTTTTAAGCATCATATCATATTAGTACGATATTTGTAATTCCATGATGTCAAGATTGTTTAAATTGTCTAATTTGTTTCCTTTGTTTTTCCTAATTTACACTCCAGCCTATTTTATGACTCTTGGTATGTTACAATTTATAAGTACTAATTAACTGAAATTTTTAACCAATTTTTAGTTTCGGCGTTATTGATTCCAGAAATAAATTTGAAATCCGGACAATAGTTTTGGTTGAAGGTGACAAATGGGAAAATCTGGTTTAGAATTTGTCCACCAGTCCCATGGAGTTCGTGTACTGACTCTGGCTATTAGCTGTAAATTTTCAGATACAGCTATTTAACTTATTAGTATGTCACATTTTAATTCGAGATTGCAGTATGTTACAACTCATCACACTCTTGTGACAAATACAGGGTTCATTCGATGCCACCCTTAAGGCGGGACCGTGCGCGGTAGTCGGAGGTGCTAGACGAGCGGCTGCGGGAGCGTGAGGCGGACGGTCATGGTCGATTGAAATTCTCCGAAAAACCAAAGAAGATGATCAGATTTTGATCAAATTTTCTAGACCTGGAAAGTCTTGACCGGAGAAATTGAAGGTCTTGCCACTGGAACTTTTGCCCGAAATTTTGAACGAGGACGAGATGATCTTCATCAATAAAAAAATTTCCAATTGGAGGCAAGGAAGGATTTTCGCAAAAATGACCGCGAACCGGATTTCATGCCGCGATACTAGTGTCTCTGATTGGAGCAAATTCCGCACGAAATCGGTCCTGCCCGCGGTGGCATTTCACGGCCCACGAAACTGCGTTCACGCCCCACAAATTGGATTTCGTACCGGGAGTCTGGGTTCTCTGTTTGGGGTATTTTACGCGCAAGCTGACCCTTCCTGCGAACCGAATACAGTGGCGCGAACTTCCATAATTCGTAGTTTTGTATGCATTTGGGGCTCGTTAGGGCATTTTTAACCTCTTTTTTCTTCTATTTTGTTTTACGCTCAACACTAACATGGCGAAAATACGAGCGGTTCGACACAAGCTTTTTCTTTTTTCTTTTTTTTTTTTCAATAAAAGAAAAAATGCAAATAAGATAAAAATGTGGGTTGCCTCTCACGAAGCACTCGGTTTAATGCCAAGAGCTTGGCGAAATCGTCGACTATGGTTAGGCAGCCTTCTTGGGCCAAACGATTCGTCCTCCAACTCCAGTTTTATCATTTTCAAAGTATAGTCTTGCCTGATGACCTTTTTTATGAAATAAGTCCTCTTTGGTCGGATTATCCCCATCCCCCAAGGTACTTCAAAATGACTTTTTTTTTTATGAAACAAGTCCTCTTTGGTCGGATTATCCCCATCACCCAAGGTACTTCAATTTTCTTATATTTCCTTGAGCCAAAACTCATACGCTTATTCTTCTTCACTTCGATAGCGGTACATTCAATGTTTGAAATAACTCTCTTCGAGAGCATATCGAAAAGATCCTTGAATTGACGATATATCTTCTTGTTCGCCAATTGGCTTGGGTAAGGGATTAGTGGCCACTATGGTGTAGCCGGCCTGTGTAGTCTCTTGTCCATCGGCCTCGACTTTACTACTTGTCACTTGATATCAGGTTTCTGTGATAATATCAGAGCAGTAGCAAATTCGAAGGAGCCACAAACTTATAAAGTGAGTAAACACATAGAGCGCAAGTACCACCTGATGCGAGAAATTGTTGGACGAGGAGAAGTCGTTGTTGCCAAGATAGAGTCGGAGGACAACCTAGCAGGTCCTTTTACGAAGAGCCTACCGGAGAAAAAATTTGCGAGGCACATAGAAGGAATGAGAGTCAGACATTAGAGCGACATAGTAGACTAGTCTTTGAGAATTAGATTGAAAGAAATTGTGGTTAGTGATATCCATGAGTTTGCTAAGCATAAGTAGGAGATTGTTAGAGGTCTGCTGCAAAAGCTTGTTTTGCAGGTTCTATCAATTCCATTTTGATCTGACAATCATGTTTTAGTCAAAGTACATATACTTGCAGTTTATTTATTTGTGCAATCATATTACTTGTCTTACATTGAGATAATATGGTTCGTGGTGTTTCGAACAGAAAGATCATCTATCAGGTCCTTGTAAGACTAAATTATTCATTCACAGTCTAGATATGCATTGTAACACCTTTTGGAAAACGTCTGTAGTGTAATCCGGGATTCAGTTTGTCTTTGACTGAAGGTTTGCACTAGTACTTATGATAAGTATTGAACATGACCGCAGAAGGATAAGATTATGGGACTCACTAATCGAAGTTGTAATTTAGACCTTCAGTAATTTATGTGTTCTCTAAAGCCGTAAGATAAAATAGAACGAGCATATATATATATATATATATATATATTCATTGCTTGTTTATTTGATTTACCAAGGTTGTTTCCTATTTCGTTAGAATGACATACTCGGTACTGAGGTAAATAAGAGTGTTTATATGATGTGCTGCTATAAATTATTTATGATCACTATGTCTCAATGCGCTGAGTTGATGACGTCCCCGAAATGAGCTCAGTAAAAAATATTATGTCAAACCCTACAGGTGGATGTGCATCCGACATTATTTTTCAGGATTTGAGTGCTACTAATTTCGGAATGAATAAGAAGTTGATTAATTATTTTGTCAGTAATTTAATTAATCAGCGGGTTTTATATCAGCGCCCCGTCCCAGCGACGCCGCAAGCTCCCTGTGCCAGCCCACACATCGTCGCCCAAAGATCTCGCAAACCCCGCTTTTCTGTTCACTCCTAGTCCTCATGGGAGTAGGAGATATGCCCTACATGTGCCTGGGGCCATCTGCCGCGCTCTAGTCTGCCCAGGCTTAGGAAAGTCGTAGTGCACGCGCCTGAGGATCTCGGCCGCCCCGCGCACATCAACCTGCGAGTTCCAGCATGCACCCGACGCTGTGACCAGCGCCCGATGTGTCAGCCCGCGATCGGACCCGACCCCGAGACGCCAAGACCGAGCCGCAGCCACCCCGACCGAGGCTAGCCGAGTCCAGTCGAGTCCAACCACGACCTGATCAAGCCCAACCAACGTTCAACCGACTCGAGACCGATGATCCCTTGTCCCGATGATCCATTCGTGACCAGACAACTTGATTCAAATCAAGGAGGCCTAGTCCAGCTGCCCAACAGACTATGCGGTTCAGACGATCTCCTACAGAGAAAATCATAAACGTCTCAGAGTCGGCAACAAATTTTTAAAAGGTATGCCCTAATCCTAACTATAAATTCTGCTGCGTTAGGATTTATTTCGATAAGTTCAATGTTGTGCATGTCTTTAACGTTCCTAATAGAACCCAACACATGAACCATGTCTATGCCCGATTTTTTAGAGTATCCATGAGACACCTCATCCGAAAGGAATCTCGTTTTGGCGAAGAGGGAAGGTATTCACCGTGTCATAGAACTCTCGGATGAAGTTTAATACGCCTACTAGCGGTAATCCATAGAACGTCGACAATTTGTTCAAGTTCGACAATGTGTTCAAGTGGATATTTTTCAACTCCACCAATTATTTCTCCATCCTCATTATTCTTTTTTTTCGACTATGAGACATAGAAACCCCAACTTTCAACTTCAAGTCCCCAAACTTAATCAACATTGATAAAAGCAATCACAAGCACATCTCAACAATACAAATCGCCTCAAAACCAACTCACCACAAATGAATCACAAAAATATCGACCTTCATGTCTTTGTCCCCAAAATAAAAACACCTTAAGAATTTAACCAAATAAAATTAACTCAAGCCATTTAAACTAGCACAAAAAATCCAACCCGACTCTCATATCATACATACAATCTCATACTCACACAAGACTAACAAATATCATGCAATTCAATCTAAAACTCAAACTCTAAGGGGCAAAGTTATAATGACATAATAAAACATG